AATATGGTAATATATATATATATATATATATATATATATATATATATTAGTATATTAAGAAATAAACTAATATAGAATTATAAAAAAGTGAGTTGGATGAAATTTTAAATTAGCATGAAAGGATTATATAACATCTTCTACAAGATGAAAAATTCTTGATGAATAGTTAAATAATAACAATATGTGTAAATATCATATATGAGCCTTCGTTTAAAAAAAACATAGCATACATTATTTTTAAAAAATTAAAAAAATAAGTTTAACATTTTTTTCTGGAAAGACTGATAAAAACAAGTTTCTGTACCAGTTCTTACCCCTCCTTTTACGGGGTTTGGTTGGTTTTTGGGCAGTTTTCTGCTCCAGTTTTTCGGTGTGTCCAAACCAATGATCTGACTGGTTCTTGATTTAACTTGTCAGACTTACTGGTTTGATCCAGTTTTAATTGCTATGGTGTTAACTTTATTAGTTTTTGTACACTGGAAGTGATGTTGTGATCATTTTTTATCTCTGGGACAAGTTCTTGTGATTGATTATCCAACTCAACATTTTATAGTGATCTGCTCGTTCATTTATATATTTTCATTGTAAGTTTGTAACCTACTGGGTAGATTATCTTTTGATGCTCTTAATAGGATTTTTCCTGGTCATAGCTTACTAGTTACTAGATTGATTGTTAGATTTAGTGCATATAAGCAAAATCATTGTTTTATGTTGATCTAGAGTTTATGATTACGAACAGAAGACAAAAATTATTAATAGGTTTTTCCCTTTCCCCTGTGACAGGCTAGCATAGTATTTTGTTTGGACTATTTTAAAGCCGAGTGATTTAGAGTTTAGACATTTAATTTCCTCTAATGCTAATTTTGTGTAAATGACTATCAGATACATTGACTATCTATTCCTCGGAGATTATGTTGATAGGGGCCAACACAGCCTAGAAACTATTACCCTTTTGCTTGCTCTGAAGGTACTCACTCTGGATGTATAGGTTGTCTTTTTTTGTTGTTTGTCAAGTTCGATGGCACCAAGTTTATGCATGCTTGTCTGGATTTTGCAGGTTGAGTATCCGAACAATGTACATTTAATACGGGGAAACCATGAAGCTGCAGATATTAATGCCCTTTTTGGTTTCCGAATTGAATGCATTGAGAGGATGGTAAGGAATATCATATTTCATATACTTAACAGTATTTTTATTTTTATTTCAGTTATTTGGCACTCAAGCAACCTTTGTAATTTGCTGATAGGGTGAGAGAGATGGAATTTGGGCATGGCACCGTATAAATCGTCTGTTTAATTGGCTTCCTCTGGCAGCACTAATTGAGAAAAAAATTATTTGCATGCATGGGGGTATTGGTCGTTCAATAAACCATGTGGAACAAATTGAGAATATTCAGCGCCCAATTACGATGGAAGCAGGATCAATTGTGCTTATGGATCTATTGTGGTTGGTGCATTTTGTTTACTTGAACGTGTTTTGACAATTTATTTCATGTCCTTTTGGAAGAATGACAGCATGAAATGTTTCTCTAGGTCTGATCCTACAGAGAATGACAGTGTGGAAGGTCTGCGGCCAAATGCCAGGGGTCCAGGATTAGTTACTTTTGGGGTGAGTATTTGTTATTTATTATTTACAATGGTTGTTATTTTTAGTTTCCTAAAGAATGATACAAAACAGGTTCAAGATTTGATATTTCTGAATTTGACAATAAATGTATCAAGAGTTTAATTTTTATATGCTGTCACTAATGATTTTTACACCATCAATCAGTTAAAAATTTTCCGAAATATGACGTTTAAAGTAATTACTACAAAAGTCAACAATCTTATCATCATACATGGCATTCTATGTTTAGATGTTTAAATTAAACCATTACCCTGTCTATACATTCTAATAAAATTTGTTTATTAATACTGATCAATACAGGTTTATGCGATTGAATTTGTTAATTTTTGAATGCTCATTTTAATTGTTTTATTATTATTGAAAATCCATATTGATGTATTAGTGACTCTGTTTTGAAGCATCATTTGAAGCTTTTCAAATCGACTGTGCTGTGTCTATGCCCTGAAATTTTTGGTTGTAACATGCATCTATTAGAGTATTAGACAATTATTTTCGAAGCTATGCTGTAATGGCTTAAAAAGACAAACTGATTACTTTCATTATTAGTGCTGTACTTTTTATGATGGCTGTTAAAATTATTGTTATAGTCACTTGCCTTCTTCGATGTTGTCTCCACTTTCTTAACTTTTGGGCTGCTGTTACCTCAATTGCGAATGTGCTATGCTCATCTAAACGAGTGTTACCGTTGCAGCCTGATCGTGTCATGGAATTTTGCAACAACAATGATCTTCAGCTGATTGTTCGTGCGCACGAATGTGTGATGGATGGCTTTGAGCGTTTTGCCCAGGGACATTTGATCACACTTTTCTCTGCTACAAACTACTGCGGTATTTGTTGCTGGCTTCTACATTGCACTTTCCTCCTAAAGATAAATTTTCTCCTAAACTTAGGCACTTTATTGTGGCGATAGGTACCGCAAATAATGCTGGGGCGATATTAGTTTTGGGTAGAGATCTTGTTGTGGTTCCTAAATTGATTCATCCGTTACCACCTGCAATTTCTTCACCAGAAACGTCACCGGATCATATCGAGGATACATGGATGCAGGTATTATTTCTAACATCATTCATTAAATGGTTGGCACTCTCTTTGTGTTGCGTAAAGTTGCATCTAGTAAATAAATGCGTTCACATCTAAGTGAATTTGAGCTGATCATTTTACAGTATTATGGGACTAAAGCTATCTTTCTGCAGTTCTTTATTTGGTATTCATACATTTTTATGTTTTGGGTTAAAACGTATATAGGAGTTGAATGCTAACAGACCACCAACACCAACTAGAGGCCGTCCTCAAGTAGCAAATGACCGAGGTTCTCTTGCTTGGATATAGTGACTATTAAGAGTGCCCTATTGTTTATGCCTTGACGGCTTGTGCTATCGCCTGAATTTCCGGTGTTACATATATAGCATGATGCCATTTACGGGGTATTCGAGCTTGTGATCTAATACCCGTAGAAAGCTTGAAGACCAAGCTTTTCTTTGTCCTGGAATCATCTGGCCTATAGAAGATACAGCAAGTTCGAGAAGCAAAGTTGGTAGCAATGCTAGGATCACTTTGACAATGCTAGAAGTTGCAGTCTGGGTTCCCATCCACCTGTTGTAAATTGAGCCGTAGGTACAAAAATCAAGGTCATGGATTGTCAGTGCTGGCTATTTTTCTCATTTTTTTTTTACATATTTTTTACTCATCGTCCCTAGGTTATTATTGTTTTTTTTTTTAATTTATATTTCAAATCAAGAGGACAAGGGTTTTTCTTTTTTCTTTTTTCCCTGTGATGGTGAGATATATAAATCAGAAATCTTTCTTGGGGGTCCATGTATCATAGGTTTTGCTTTGTGTAATTCCCATCCATGCGCTGTACAACTAATTTTTGTGTGAATCGACATATTCTGACAGAAATGTGAATTTTGAGAATAGAATTTTGTATATTGCCTTATGCTGCAAATAGCTTAGACTGTTTCCTCTGGAGCTCTTTATAAGATCTAAAAAATTGAAAAATCGAAAAAATTGAAATTCAAACAAATAATTGAATTTTATTTATTTGATTGGATCGAATTTGATATCGCTTATATATATATATATATATATATATATTTGGGTATATTTGTAAAATATCACACAACTTATGTTTATTAATGAAAAATATATTTAAATAAGACATTTCTAGTATTTATTTATTAACGGTATTTAAGTATAATTATTGAGTTATGTGAATTTATTTCTAATGTGAAGAGTAACATTAATATTAACTATATATATTTTAAATTTTTTAGTTAGGTTCTTATTGTTAAAAAATATTTTGTAGTTTAAAATATTGTAATTAAATTCTTCACCGATTGATGTTATTACAATTATGTTAACGAATATTGTGGCATGATAATTATTTTTAATTTGCTATATATATATAATTTTCACATGGATTATGAAGATTCTTAACCAGAAAGAAACAACCAAAATCATCACAATTATTTGGTGGACTTGGAGATGGAGGAACAATATGACCTTTGAAGGAAGAAAATGGAACATACCATATGTTATCCGAAACATCTATAGTTCACACGTCAGTTTTGCTTTCATGTTTCATGACCTTCAAGGTGATCTCATGGTTCATCATTAGATCTCACCTTCTAGACCTAGTGTGAAGATAAACACAGATGGTAGTTTCATTCCCCAAATTGGTCGTATGGGAATTGGTGGAGTTGCTTGAGATGAAGTTGGGAGATGATTGCATGGATTCACAATTGCAATGGGCAAAGGAGATCATATTCAAGCTGAGATTTTAGCTATCCAACAGGGACTTAATTGATGTTGGAATAAAGGCCTAAGAAATATTGCATATGAGTCTCACTGCTTTGAAGTTGTTAATATGTTAAATAACTAGGATGAAAGTATAGTTAGACATCATACACATAGTAATCTATTATAAGATACTAGGGGACAAAATTGGAATGCTTCACTCCTTCATGTCCATAGAGAAACTAACTCGGTAACAGACAATTTAGCAGTTTGGGAAGCAAAAAATGAGGACATTAATAGCTGTTGGGATAATCCTCCTAACTTCGTTCTTGCCCATTTAGATAAAGACTTTATAGCTATTAGCTAGTTTTTTTCCTTTCTTTTTTCTTTTTCTTTCTTCTTGTACCAAAAAAAAAACACTAAAATTTTAACTTTAATATGTTAATTACACCAAAATTTAAGATTTCTTTTACATCTAAATTTAAATTATATATTAGTTTTTAAACTGACATTTTTTCAATTTCCACATATAGATGAAAACAGAATAAAAAAAAACAAATTTAGTTCTTCAATTTTAAAAAAGATTTATTTGTACTGCTTAAACATCGTTAGTAAATTTGTCACGAAAAATTCACCATCTATGGATTTTGCCACACAATATCCTCTTGTGTGTTATTAGTAAAAATATTACATGAAATTTAGTTCATGTTGTAGAATTGACTTGATATATATTCTTGTTAATAATATTATAATTTGTAGGTGATCCTAGATTATAAAAATCAATCTAGTTTATAAAAACAATTTGATTAACCAAATCATTTTTATAAAGTGGATCGATAAAAAAAAATTTAAACAATATCGGTGTAATTTTTATTAACTATTATACAATTTAATAACTTTAAATTAAATTTAAATTTTTTAAAACTTGCTCTTAGATTAAAAGTTTCTACTCCTAGATTATACATAGAAAATTTTATAATATTCAAGATGATTTGATGATATCTCATTTTTATAGAACAAAATTGACGTAATGTATATTTCAAAATATACTAAAATATAAATACTTTGATTATTTTCAAATTATTCAATTTCAATAAAATTTGATATACATATTTAAGGTGATATAAAATTATAATTCAATGGCTAGATTGATAAAATTTACATTTAATATAAAATTATTAAATAGTAAAATGATTGATAAAAATTATTCTAGTATTGTTTTAACCCTCCTCATATATATATATATATTAGTTGCTACAATTTTGTTATTTGTATTATCTTGAAACTAGTTATATATATATAAATATAAATAAGAGTATAAAATAGATAATTGAACTCCATAGAGTAGATCGAATTTAAAAAAATCTCACTTATTTAAAAAATTTGTACCAATTATCTCTATAAAACGGGTTGGCTAATCGAAACATGTTTAGGTATGAATTTTTCTGAAACTTGATTCATGAACAACAATGTGTTTTTTACACAGGAGTTCAGGGTATCGATTTCATGGCGTGGAACTGTGGATGGATAATGAGACAAGTAAATAAATGAAATGTAGTTCTCTTTCTTTGTACCCAAGAGAAGAAAAAGAGGCTTACAAATGTAGGTTACTACGTATACAGAAGAAATTACGGTCAGTAACATGTGATGTATTCTTTACATTAGCAATATATTAGAAGTAAAATCACACACCATGTTATTTTTTATTCCTAAGTTTGTAGTATTGCTTTCTATTGATAAGTCGTCATTCCACCCACAGAAAATTGACAGCTAAAATGTATTTCAGTTTAAGTTGGTGATGCTGTCATCTTCATTTTACATGTTCAATCACATCATTCACAAATGCATTGGTGATGTTGCAAACATACTTATGGCTACATTTTTTTTAGTGATAAGCACTTTTCCAAACTACTCTTGTTTTTATTCTTGAGACCATGGAATGCAAAATGCATGGATCCGTGGACAAGTAACAGCTGCAGTATTTTATTCAGTACGTATTAGAGAACATGTTATTAAGTCTTTTCAATTTTAACCAGATGCCAAGGCAGATGCCACTCGAAGATATTTACATGTATTCAGTTTGTTCATGTATTTCTCCCACTAAAAGCTTATCTTAAAATAGTGTGTATGTCGTACCATTTTGCTCTCATACATATACACACGGTTTTGGTACATTTAACCTCAAATATAAAATGAATATGTATGCCACTGAACCTGAGAACAGCCATTTTTACACCATTTCTTAATTTTACATTGAGCTCATCTTATGTTTAGTGGAAGAAAGTATATATAACGTTTGGCATATATTTAAAAAAGCTCTTGCGAAACGAATCAGTGCTAAGCAAAGTGTGAGATTAGCGAGCCAAGATTCATAAGCTTTACATTATTATTTAAATATAAAGTTTACGGGTAAATAAGCGGTGTTGGTAGCGCCAAAAGATTCATTTCACAAATTCTTTTGATAAGGATAAACACAGAATTAAGGAATTCATGGATATACGTACGTTTAAACAAATTCCATAAACAAAAAAAGTGACGTGACATTTCGTGGAAGAATTCTTCTTGCTGTTTGGAATATCATTTAAGAAATCAAACAAAAGTTTTTTTTTTTATTATTAATTTTGTCCCTCAAACATAAAAGTATTTTTCACTTCTAAGTTAAAGTATTACATGTTTTCATTCTGTAATATAATATGAGTGACTTAAATGAAAAAAAAAGTTAATCTTTTATGCAACATATATAGTTATATACCCTATCTAATAATATAAAATATTACATTTATATGTATAACAAATTACATGTGTTAAAATATCATCATTTTTTTTATCAACGACTAATTTTATCACTTCATTTAAAGGAGCCAAATCCTTAAAAAAATGTTTTAGCTTCTAATTAATGGAAGTCCTAAACAAGAAAATAGTAGAATAATATATATAGAAGCTTAGTCATTTAATATTTGTTAGAAATTCCATTAATGCTGTATTACTATGCAATGGCTTGGTCGATTCGATTCGGAGTTGACTCATTAGTTCAGTTTAATTATAGACGTTTACATTCTTTGAATCGGGATTTTACTTTTTAAGTTCTTTTTAATTACTATATATATTGATAATCATAAATATAGCAAGCTAGCATTTAGCATAACTAGCTAGTACGCAGTATAATATTCACAAGCATATGACAGTTTTTTACACCAAAAAGCATATAGAAGTTTGTGGCACTAATTAAATTGATGTAATTAACTAGCCAATAGTTTAGTAATTAAAAACCTGTAATAATTTGATTATAATAACTTTAATGGATTCCGTCAACTTACGGACTACTGTTTTTAAGCCTCACATCACTGTCACAGGTATAGTATTGGATTAGCATGCATCATTAGTGGACCTAAGTTGGAAATAAAGCTTAATTGACTATTCGTAAACTTTTTACGAATTATTTTAACCTATAAAGGTTCGAAACTATAGTGTTTGACCTATGAATTTGAATTCACTATTGCATATAGCAAATTGGAGGAAACCTTAGTGGCCTTTGGCATGGTATAAATCAATTAGCATGAATGAGGCAAATGACTAAATTATTAAAGTAGAACATTTCTTATGTCTATTTTTCTGTTTGTATTCGTTCTTTAAAAATGTTTCTTGTTCATTTGTAGATTAGATAATTAATGTGTCGGTAGTCACTAATATCGTGTTTATTTATTAGTCTCTTTCGTATTACATAAGCAGCTGAAGAATTAATTAAATGTTCTGTAACAACAGTTAAAGATTGCGTAAGAGTACATTATTTGGGTTAAATTTTGAAGTAGTAGATTGAGAATCGTTGACAATAGATTTGAGTTAAAGATACTAGCTAGCCACAAGAATTAAAAGAAAAAGAAAAAGAATTTATTGGCCTTTAGGAGTTTAGAAATAATTATAGTATTTTTGGCTTTGTAAAATAACTTTAGCTCAGCATGCACTCAATCCCATTCTTTATTTATTTATACCAGTTTACAGCTTCCTTAAAATAAAATAACACAAACATTTTTGTTCCTGTGAGCTTATAAGTTTTACAAGGAAAAAACCTAACACTAGTGCATGTATATAGAAGCTCATGCAAAAGCCAAAATCGATTTTGTTTCCCTTTTAAGTGAGATCCTTGGCATGTCTTTTCTCTAATTTAATTTATTTTCTCAAATAAAATAGGAAAATACTATAAAAAAAAAA